TCTCTCTCTCTCTCTCTCTCTCTCTCTCTCTCTCTCTCTCTCTCTCTCTCTCTCTCTCTCTCTCTCTCTCTCTCTCTACACACACACACCAGCATCCCCTCACCTCTTCACCTTCCCCTCACTTTCACAGAGACGAGGGGGAGAGCTGCGTCCGAAATCCATTGGTAACCTTTCATAATGTTTGATATTTTTTGCTATTTCGTACACGATTTTTTTAATAATATTGGACCAGAAAAAATTGCGTCTACAATTTTCGTTGGGTGTAAATCAGGAAATGGAAATTGTGTATTTTACATGTATTTTACGTATGCGTACGTTTACATTTATGATTATTTACAAGTAGGTTTCTCTTGTAAAAATATGAAGAATTAGTGCTGTAGGATTTTTTTACATCTTTACATCATATCAGAGGTGTAAATAATGAAATATATGAATTATGTCTATTTACAAGAACAATCTTCCTTTGACAGAAACTAAAAAAAAATCAAATCACAAAACAGCTGATCGATACAATGTAAACAATGACACGTGGGAAACAAATTCGAATCGCAAACATTAGTCTGTTGACGCTACGGGGGATTACATCAAGTCGTCTATGAATTAAGTGTAAGACTCTCAAGCTACCAGGCGTTGTCATGGTGACGTGTGTGTGTGTGTCTAGGGTGAGGGAAAAGGGTGTGTGTGTATAGGGTGAGGGAAAGGGTGTAAGTGTCTAGGGTGAGGGAAAAGGGTGTAAGTGTCTAGGGTGAGGGAAAAGGGTGTAAGTGTCTAGGGTGAGGGAAAAGGGTGTAAGTGTCTAGGGTGAGGGAAAAGGGTGTAAGTGTCTAGGGTGAGGGAAAAGGGTGTAAGTGTCTAGGGTGAGGGAAAAAGGGTGTAGGGTGAGGGAAAAGGGTGTGTGTGTATAGGGTGAGGGAAAGGGTGTAAGTGTCTAGGGTGAGGGAAAAGGGTGTAAGTGTCTAGGGTGAGGGAAAAGGGTGTAAGTGTCTAGGGTGAGGGAAAGGGTGTAAGGGTGTGTGTCTTTCGCCATCCTTCTCTCTCCCTTTATCATTCCATTATCATCATCCTTGTTTCCTCTTACTGTTGCATTCCTGTGGTTATGCTTTCATCATCCTTCTCTCTCCCTCTCACTGCATTCTTATGTTTGTTATTCTTTCATCTCTCTCTCACTTTTTTTCTTTCTATCTCTCTCTCTCTAATTGCATTCATCACTTTATCATTTCTCCATCATTATCTCCCAATTTCCTCCATTTGCACACACACACACACACACACACACTCACACACACACACACACACTCACACACACTCACCTGTTCACACCTCAGGCAATACCCTATCTCACCTCCACCAAGTCAAGACCCAGTCACTCGCTGTATAGAAGAACCTTGTGCCATGGGTGTTCCTGGACAACCCCCCGTACACTGTTGAGGAGTTTATATACGTTGTTCCAGGACGAGTTGTACACAGTTGAGGAGTTGTTTGTTCCATCTTGGTGTGTACAAGTTGACGAGGGTGACGGTGGTATATTATAGAGAATTACTGCACCGCCATTTTAAACACGGTATAGGAATGTAGTTTTTTTATTTTGTTTTTGTCTGTAGTGCGTCAGGCAGCTCTATGAATGACAGAGCTGGCTGGTTGACTAACTTACTTACTCACTGAAGAACACTTTTAGGCTATATACTACTCCCTGGCTCAGCATTATACATTAATATTGTATTTTGGCCACGAAATTTTGCATTGTATTTTGACATTAATTTTTCATGTGTTATTTTTGTCACTTTTTCCATTATATTTCGGTATTAATTTGATGTATTTTTTGGAACTCATTTTTGCATTAGATTTTGCCATTAGATTTTCATTAGACATGGCGGCCTGTTCTCTATACACTGTTATTTGTACTGTAATGTAATAAAGTTCTTTTTACTGTTATTTGTACTGTAATCTACTGTAATGTAATAGTTCTTCGTTATTTATACTGTAATGTTATGCAGTACAATAGACCTCGGTGTAAATAACGTGTTGGTGACCTTGGCCTGTCGTTTGTGGGGGGAAAGACCTTGTTCTGTTGTTAGTGTTATTGAATAGGGTATATTTATACTCTGTCCCGATATACACATTGTATGGTTGTATATTTGTCTGTGTGTATGTGTACTGTAGTGTATGTGTGTGTATGTAGTATATGTGTGTAAATGTTTATGTATGTATGTATGTATGTATATGTATGTATGTATATGTATGTATGTATGTATGTATGTATGTATGTGTCTATCTATGAGTATATACGTGTACAAACAAGAATATATACAGTATACATACCCCAAACTTACCAACCACTCACACCAGAGGATATACGAAACAAAAGTATATATATGTATGATCAAGTATATTTCCTTTGGTCATCTCTACACGTGATGACTGCAGTAATACAAAATAAGCACCGTCCACTGTACCCCTACACAGTACACTTAATTGAATCGGAAGGGCAGGTATATCTATTCAACTCTTTAATTAGCAGGTGTGTGGGGGGGGGTGTGTGTGTGTGGGAGGTGAGGGTGTGTGGGGAGGGAGAGTGTGTGTGGGGAAGGTGTGTGTGGGAGGGAGAGTGTGTGTGGGGAAGGTGTGTGTGGAGAGGGAGAGTATGGGGAGGGAGAGAGTGTGCAGGGAAGGTGTGTGGGAGAGGTGAGGGTGTGTGGGGGGGAGGTGAGGGTGTGTGGGGAAGGGGGAGAGTGTGTGGGGAAGGGGTGTGTGTGTGTGTGTGTTCTGCTGCTCTCACTCCCGTGTTCTCAAGCGGTTGGTTCCATTTAAGTAGTATTTTTGCTATTGTTTGGCTATTTATTCTATTTTCTTGATTTTCCTATTTTTCCGGATTTATTTTCGTATATTTTCTAAAAGGGGATTTTTTTCTCGATTTTGTTAACTTAAGCGATTTATTTCCTGTCATTTTAATTTGTGATATATTTTTTTTCAATCTTTTTAACTAAATAATTTACATAGGGATTTATTTCACAGAGTCTTTAAGTGGATATATATCGTTATCTTATGGAGTAAATGAATTTGACACCATTTTACACCATCAAATATAGTGACACCATCTTCCTATCTTTACCTACTGTATCTCTCACTATCGCTCACTACATCATCATCAACGACCAACACAGCTTTTCGCAACATGGGAGGGAAATTTGCATACCACGAGTCATATAAAGAGCAGAGTTGACATAAACGTGCCGTGAGGAAAAGGGATTCAGGGGGCTTAATATTTGTCAGTCAATCCCAAGTGGTGGACAATAAGGGAACAGGATTCACAATAGAGGTTCATGCGTCTATACTTTTTGGCCGAACTTAGTTGATGCGTTTATACTTTTTGGCCGAGGCGTAATTGATGTGTTTATAGTTTCGGCCAAATAGTACATGACACATTTACATTCTTGGTCAAATCGTACGTGACACAATTGTACTCTTGACCAAATCGTACATTACATTCTTGGCCAAATAGTACGTGACACACTTGTACTCTTGACCAAATCGTACATTACATTCTTGGCCAAATAGTACGTGACACACTTGTACTCTTGACCAAATCGTACATTACATTCTTGGCCAAATAGTACGTGACACACTTGTACTCTTGACCAAATCGTACATTACATTCTTGGCCAAATAGTACGTGACACACACACGGGACCAAATCCTAATAAACACACATGTTCTCCTGGCCAAGCCGTGTCACAGACAGACAAACACTCGTAATAAAAAGTAAAGCTCAATTACCTAATTTAACAGGATCACACTTTTGTCTATGTGAACAAAAACATTAACAAACAAACAAACAAAATAAACATCCTATCTTGCACTTTTTTGTCGACACTCATGACAGTTTTTGTGTGTGTATAGTTTTGAACATACATGGAGCTACTGACTCATGTGTGGGTTTTTCATTCATGCTATAACTGTTGATACATATATACTTACATATACACACACACACATATATACTGTATAGCTATAATGCCCGTTTAAGTTATGACATTGTTACACATTTTTACCAGACATAATTACCTGGTTATTGTGGATGTGTTTTATTGGCTCACCTGTGTTTGTTGGTCTGTTTGTCTGTTTTTTACTGTGGGTGTGTGTGTGAGTGGGGAGCGGTGGGTTGGTGTTTATGTGTGTGTGAGTGGGTAGCGGTGGGTTGGTGTTTATGTGTGTGTGAGTGGGAATAACGTGGGGTTGTGTATGTGCTTTGTATGTATGTATGTATGTCGGTGTGTATGGGTGTGACGCATTTCATCCACTGACGTTACAATGTGTGTGTGTGTGTGTGTGTGTGTGTGTGTGTGTGTGTGTAAAGGCAGGGCATGTTTACTATGGCATAACTGACTGTATTTGGGTTAGCTAGTTCTCGAATCTGCTGGTGACTGACCTAGTGTTTACAACAGGTATGCGCGGGTCGTGTTAAAATAAATAAATGTCGCTTCCTCTTGTACTGAATAAACAATTAAATCAGAATGTCAATTGGAAAAAATCTTAGCTAATCGTAATATATTTGTACTCTTTTATTTTAGAAGCGATAGGTAGTGTATTTCTCACATCACATCACAGCACATCACTCCATATGTCATCTCTACTCATATAACTATCACCAAACTTTAATTTCTTTAGTGAATTAAAAACTGTCATCATTATAAAATAGAAAAATGATCGGGTACACAACACAGATTTAATACCATTTTCTCCACATATGCCCTAAACAGTTACACACACACATTATATTAAATCCCAAGGTAGTGAGTTGGTCGAGCTAATAACCGAGTATAACCGATCATTTGTGCAGCTGTGGACAATATTCCCTGGACACTTTTGGTTGTATCTGGCATCTAGTTTTGGGGGGTTAGGTTAGTTGAGAATTTTGGGTTAGGTTGGGTTAGTTTCTTTGGGGGGTTAGGTTAGGTTGGGTTAGTTTCTTTGGGGGTTAGGTTGGGTTAGTTTCTTTGGGGGTTAGGTTAGGTTAGGTTGGGTTAGTTTCTTTGGGGGGTTATGTTCGGATGTATAATGAAACATACCGTTCACCAGGTATTAATTAATCACCAGGTATTAATCAAGGTATTAATCAACAGGTATAAATGAGCGACGTATTTAACTCACTACAGATGCCAGATAATGCCAAGTGTAAAGGTATTTTTGGTCACAGATGTACACGAGTGGATGTTACTGCCTCATTAACTTCCATCATGGTCATCACGTAATCTTGTCTTCATCTACACCATGATACTGTGCTTCACCCTTGTGTCTACACCATAGGTTACACCCCTACACAGGCAGGCTACACTCACACTGCACATTCACTGCGGGAATAATTAAGGTAGAAGCACAGGTAACACAATAAGGTAAACACATTCTCTTAGTCCAGGTTATGTACAGTACACTTACACATTCATACACACACTTACACATTCATACACACACTTATACATCCATATTGGGAATCCTAACTGAGTTTAGTTGCATACTGATCATGTGTGGTTACTTCACACGGCAGGTGAGGGTTGAAGACACACCTTTACACAGGACTAATTACCGTTGTCCTTCACTATACACGTAATAAGTTGAGGCTTTGTATACCTCTTGTATCGACACGTTATAGGAGTCTCTCAAGTTGTGTGTGTGTGTGTGTGTGTGTGTGTGTGTGTGTAAACATTACATCATAAGCATGACACATAATGCCCTCTGACACTTTGTATATAACAGGTCAAGGATTCACACCAAACAGTACAGTCAGTCATTCTATCAAATAGTCGAAACAATGTTTTCATGGCACACAAATTTGACATAAATAATAAAATTATCCTATTGGATACAACAATAATGTGCAGTGATAATTTACAACTGTAAAGCAAAATTATTATTTTCTCAGGAACTTATTATAACCAAGAATGATCCTTAACACAGGTGAGAGGAACAGGTGGAGGAGAGGTGAGGTAAGAGGAGGGTAGTGATGGGGTGGCTGGTCACCTGGGCCCCCAGTTTTAATACATCCCAGTCCTACTTGGCCCCAACCTAACTAACAATTAGAGCAGGGGCCCAGTTCTAGTGGGCCCCTCTCCTAATAGATCCCTATCCTAAAGGTTAGGTTACGCTTGGAGCCCAGTAGGACTGGGGTTCATTTGACCTGTTAACCATCGTTACACTGGAGGATGAGGTCAACCTGTACTGTACCCTTAAGGTGGCTCTGAGCACCACTACTGTACGTCTCATGTTACATGGTGATATAGTCATCCACGGTGAAAATATAATGTGTTGTGAATATATCTGGGTTGTTAACCATCATTATTGTCCCTTGAGTAAGGCGAGTAATGAGGGCAACACCGAGAGTCTTAACTACCATCTGTTTGTGGCCACACCATCAATAATAACTTGTGTAGAGTACAGTTCTCGCGGGAGGATCTAACACAACAGTATAAGAGACGAACATTGACCACAAATAACTATATATTTAGAAAAAAGAATAAAGTTGGTGGCGATGTTTTACAGGTAAACATTAATAGATAATTGTTGCTTAAGAAGAAATAAATGTTTTCCTTTTAAGTTGAGTACATGTACTAGAGGGGTGAAGCAGGGTTGGGGGGGGTGTCCTGCCCGTGATAACAATGTGCTAATAGTACATGTACGGAGATAAGATAAGGAAGAAAGAAGGAGATAAAGATATATGCAAACACAATCGTGGTTACAAGAGACACACAAGGAATTCTATACTACTCTGTATACCATAATTATATACACACATATAAAACACATCGGGAGAAGCAGCATCGGCAGAGCTCTTTGGTCATCTGGGGTGTAGGCGCTGGCCCGCATAACAACATGAATACACTTTAACAAGATTTTATATAGTATATAAATCACTAATAAAAAATTACTACCATCTACTTGACACAGAACCAATGATGAGAAACTAAACGATGGAACTGTGGTGGTGAAATTTAGAGCAAATAATTAGAGTGTTTAGTGAAGCAAATATTGGTGATGAAGGTCCTACGGTCACCACTACATACATATACATACATACATACATACATACATACATACATACATGCAACAGAAACATTACTCATAATTCTTTAACTTGTTATGAAAGAATTATCGCTTGTATTCCTAATATTTTTTTGTGTTTAATATTGTGAATTGTGATGAGTTTAAGTTTGGCGGCCTAAGATGATGTCTTGGTGACCGGGACCTCATGTACCAGATGTTTACAAAGTCACTTAATGTTTGTGTTTACAGAGTCGTGTACACAACCAAAACATGGGCAGGTACTCCGTTGTATTCATAACTGTAACGTCAACTGTATCACGCACCTACAGTAGTGGATAATACATACAGGTGTGTGTACTGTAGGTGGTGGAGCAGGTACCCATGTTTTATACGTGTATATTACTTGAGGAACTCTGCAAATATAACCATCAAGGGACTTTATAAACACCCTGTGCATTTTTATCAAGGGACTTTGTAAACACCCTGTACAATTTTTGCTCGACATTATAATATAAAAGGAAGGTACAGTACAGTACAGTACAGTACAGTACAGTACCTGTTAACCAAGACAGCGGAAGCAGCACAACTGAGGCGTCGTCTACAAGGTTCAGGGTTGCACGCTACCACCCAAAGTTCGAATTAAAGCCAATTATAAGCCGAAATTTACCCTTAAGTTACTACATCTAAATACTATATCACCCTTTTGTAACGTGGATCAGCCCCACACATAATTATCAGATCTAATATATTAAGAATAAAGAAGGTTTTTCTCTCTCTCTCTCTGGAACACAAAAGTTTTGTAAATCTTTTTAAGTCGTTCCAGACGTCCTTAATACCGTCGCCGGCCACACTGTCTGTCTGTCTGTCAGCTCACTTACTGGCGTGACAGTTGGCTGCTCTTGTGTGCAGCAACACTTGGTGGTGTGTGAGTCGTCACTGTACAGTTCCATCACAGAGGCTGTGGGACTGTGGCCACACACCACGGGTCACACATAGTGTGTTGTATTACCTCTGCTAATACTACTTTTTGACAGTGGTACTTTTTTATGTACATTACCACCAATTTGTACAGTAGAATTACTTCTTATAACGAGGTCGCATTTCTAGCACCAATTCTCTTATGTATTGAATTACTCCTCATTGCTAGTCTTACTGTAACTAACTTGCCTGTTCTGCTATAAATTTATTTATCTAATTAACAAGTGAACACTTCTGCCTCAGTCGGTGCCAGAAACAGTGTACGGGTGACGTTTATCTGGCGGCGGAGTTGATGGTGGCCGCCAGGGAGGAAGCCGCCACCTTTTCATGCAATGATCTCGTTAAACTCTCGATCCTGCTGATGGACTCTGAAGGTTTTCTCGGGGTTATGCCCAGACCGGTGAGCCCGCTGGTTATTCTTGACTCTGACTGTTGTCTGAGTAGTGAAGGGTTAGGGATCTGACGCACGCTGGTGTTGGTCGCCCTGATGCTCTGGCTGGTGCTGCACGACGTCCTGCCAGACGACACAGAGCTGCTGAGGCTTGTTGACACACTCGAACTGGAACTGACTTTAAAGTTGGAGTTGATAATGTGAGAGGACTTGGAGGAGGTGGAGGTACTGATGCTGCTGCTGTTGGTGGTGTTGCTGGTGGTCGTCACCGTGTTGGTCGTGTTTGACTTAAAGTTATTATTCTGTTTTAGTTTTTGTTGTTGGTGTTGTCGTCGTACAAACTCGGCCAACTTTTGGTTTGTTATCTTGAAGACGGGGTCACCTGTCCTCTCCGTGTGGTCTCTGTCGGGTCTGGTGTTGGAGGGGGAGGTGGTGCCGTTGGTCTTGGAACTAACAGACACTGTCGGTATTTTTAGGGAGGCTGCCAGAGCCGATTTGGGGATGGTGGTTCTGATACTACCGTGATTATTGCCGCTGCTTCTACTGCTGACCACGCTGCCTGCTGACTTGTGACTGTTGTGAGACTTTGTGTTGAAGCTTTTACTGAAGGAGTTGCCATTGACCGTCTTGGAGCCGTGGTGACTCTTACTCACGGACTTGGACACCGTGTTCTTGTTAGCCTTGCCATCTATCGTTGTGGTGATGGGGCTGATGGTGAGTGTGTCACCGGACCCGTTCACAAAACTCAGAGATTCGCTCACCTTCAGGCTCTTCAGTACCTGTGCTTGTGCTCTTGCTTGGGCCTCTGCTTGGGCCTGGGCTTGGGCTTGAGCCTGGGCTTGTGCCTGTGCCTGTGCATGCGCCATGGCCAACTGCAGCTGAACGGCTGCATGAGACAAGGTCATGAGATCGCTAAAAGCAACGGCTTGTGGGGTGACTGGTGTGGGCACCAGGGAGGAACGAGCCCAGTCCAGCGGGAGTGTTGGTCGATTGATCTGAGCGACGGTGGGCGACGACTGAGCCGTGGACGTGGTGGAGCCTGTGGTGGTGGACGACTGGTGTTTGAGCTTTTTTGACTTCTTGCTCTGAGTAATAGAGAGAATTGTTTGAGTACCTTGTCCACGAGCCGCCCTGTTCCCCGCTTTGTCCGTAGCTTGACCGTTGCTGGAGGGCGGGGAGTCGAGGCTCTCACGCTGTGTTCTCGCCTCCCTCACACTACGAGCATGGCGGGAGAGGTCCAAGGCGCCCACCTCATCACGTTCTTCCTCCTGTTCACCACTATCATCTTCATCCTCCTCGTTATCGGTGAACACATAACAATCTTTACGGAATATTTTCTTATCACCTTTGTAACTGTAACTGAGGTTGATGGGTCCCTCATCAGTCTGGACCTGCTTGCTGAAGGAGGTCCTCTCGGTGGTGGACTCGTGGTCCATCTCTGCTGACTCTGTACTCACGTTGAGGTCCGTGTCCTTATCGTCGCTGTCTAGAGGCTCGCTGGCACTCGTCTCTGTCACGTCGATGGCGCTGTCCTCCTGCTCGTCCTCCCCGCAGTCCTTCCCCGCGTCCGTCTCTCCTTCAGTGCCAATGTTACCAGAGCTCTCGCCCTCTGGTTCACCCTCGTTATCCACCGCTGGTTCACCATCACCGTCCGGTTCACCATCAGCCTCTGGTTCCGTTTCGTGGCTGGTGTCGACCTCGAGAGGTGTTTCTGAGTCATGGTCGACCACGAGGTCATTGGATTCTTTCGAGGCATCAAAGTCCTCAGCCGCCTCCATCTGTTCATGGTCTTCCCTCACGTCTTCCTCCTCTTTATCCAGTTGTTCCTCCTCCTCCTCCTCCTCCAGCCCTTCAGGATTGTCATCATGGTGCGCCTCTTCCTGTATGTCCTCCTGCTGTTCTTCCTCTAGACCGTGAGACTCCTCCTCCTGCTGCTCCTGTACAGTATCTGCCACCTCCTGGTTCTCCACTACACCTTCACCGCCGTCGTCGTCGCCCTGTTGGATATCCAGCTCCGTGACGGCATTCTCCTCAATCTGGAACTGTTCTCCTTCCCGACCTCGTCCACCTTCAGGAGTCTCGGGCGGCGTGGGTGGGTGGCTATCCAGGGGTGGCTGGTCGTCAGGTAGTATGACGGTGGAGGTGTCGTCACAGGTGGTCTCGATCTTGGCTACCTTATCAGGAGGCTCCGGGCACTCGTCTACAGGTGCAGCAGCTTGGTTCTTGTTGTCGTCGGGGCTTTCAATCTCCTCCTGTGTGGTAAGGACCTCAGGCTGCTGCCGCCGCTTCTTCACCTTCCTCGTGGCAACCACCTGGAAATTCAGCTCCATGGGCGACTCCTGTAAACACAAACAAGACAACAACTTTAGTAATGGATCAGGTGTGATAATATAACTTACACCTGTGGCATAACTTACACCTGTCATAACTTACACCTGTGGTATAATTTACACCTGTCATAACTTACACCTGTGGTATAACTTACACCTGTGGTATAACTTACACCTGTCATAACTTACACCTGTCATAACTTACACCTGTGGTATAACTTACACCTGTCATAACTTACACCTGTGGTATAACTTACACCTGTCATAACTTACACCTGTGGTATAACTTACACCTGTCATAACTTACACCTGTGGCATAACTTACACCTGTCATAACTTACACCTGTGGTATAACTTACACCTGTCATAACTTACACCTGTGGTATAACTTACACCTGTCATAACTTACTACAACTTAACACGTGTACTGGCTACGTTGCGCTTGTGAAATTTTCCATCTCATGTTAGTGAAATTGTCTCCAATCCTAACCTAACCTAACCACACCTGATTGGGAGACAACAAAAATGTGTGTGTGTGTGTGTGTGTGTGTGTGTGTGTGTGTGTGTGTGTGTAGTAACTCGTAGAGCATGGCACGTCCCCTCCTCACCCTACAACCAATCACCTCCCTCCAGCAGAGAGAGAGAGAGAGAGAGAGAGAGAGAGAGAGAGAGACCACCGTCGCGGATGTGCAATAAATCAACGTGATCGATTGCTTAAACCCCCTTCCCTCCCTCCCTTCTTTCCCCCTCCGCCCTCCCCCCACCCACCCCCTCCCCCCAGACTCCTTTATCCTCTCACCTCTTCTCTCTAACCATGTGCTCTGCCCCCCTCCATGTTGCAGTTGTGGCCCCCATCCATGTTGCAGTTGTGGCCCCCTCCATGTTGCAGTTGTGGCCCCCTCCATGTTGCAGTTGATTGATGTTTCCCATGTGTATAATGTATACTAGTTATGTATACGAGGTGCTATGTATGCTTTACTCTAAGGTGCAGTTAACGCTCAAGCCTATACGGTACACTTCACCCTAAGCCTATACGGTACACTTCACCCTCAAGTCTATACGGTACACCTCACGCTGAACGCTACGGTACACCTCACGCTGAACGCTACGGTACACCTCACGCTGAACGCTATACGGTACAGTGGGAACAAAGGGATATTTATTTCCTTTGCTCACAACGTATTTCAAGCTGTTGGCTCAGGGGGGACGTTCAGCGATAGATTTTTCTCTTAAAGTTTAACATCTTGGAGGAAAGTTTAGGCTGAGAAGAATGTTCAAACTCCTCCAGGAAATATGTACATGGTTGGCTGATCACTGGTGCTACGTAAAGATTGGCTGATCACTGGTTCGGTTCTACAACATGATTGGCTGATGTCTGGTGCTACGTAAAGATTGGCTGATCACTGGTTCGGTTCTACAACATGATTGGCTGATTTCATGGTTCTGTAAAATGATCAGAGGAATTCCCCTCCTCCTTATCTCCCATCCTTCTCCCACTCTTCTCCTCCCCTCCTACACCTCCTCCTACTCCTCCTCCTACTCTTCCTCCTCCTCCTTCTCTTCCTCCTCCTCCCCCTCTCTCGTACTACAGAATACATAATATACGCCATACTGCCTCGCCCCCCCCGTATATAACTCACCTTCCCAAAAGCAATTAGCATACCTGCCACCTCCTTCCCTCAACCCCCCTTACCTGCCCTTACCTCCCATACCTGCCCTTACCTCTTTACCTCATGCCCTTTACCTGCCCAACCTCATGCAGTCTACCCCTACCTGCCCTCACCTCCCGTACCTGCCCTCACCTCCCCTACCTGCCCTCTCCTCCCTACCTGCCCTCACCTCCCCTACCTGCCCTCACCTCCCCTACCTGCCCTCTCCTCCCTACCTCATACCCTCACCCCTCTAGTTTCCCTCACATCCCTACCTATCCTCACCCCCTCCTCACCTCACCCTCACTTCCATTTGCTTCAGTGAATAAAAACTTCACAGATGTAGGAAGCAGAACTGAAAGAGATTTAACTCAGGTCACTGGGCAGATCAAAATGCCATGAACGATTACACATTTCAGAGTGGAGGATGGAGAGCCATTCGTTCTGGCATCTGTTAGTGCTATACGAACGAGTGAGGATAGATCCGGATTTCTAAAGCTTAGTGCGGTGAATTTTTACTTGAATTTAGATACGCAAGAACGCTCAAAACTGTGTATATTGAAGCTGAAGTCTAATAATAATAATAATACGGTAATAATAATAATAATAATAATACAGTACTAACAATAATAATAATAATAATCTACACCAGTGGCATCAAATCACTAGCTCTACCTAAACGTTACCTCAGCCGTTCGTGTTTGGGCTAAAATTAATACGGGAATCTTGGTGAATCCGGTCACTAGATTCACGGGTCCTACTTCACCCTCCATAGTGAAGTTAATTAACAATATTTAACACGGTAATAGGTGACACTTGTACTAATTAACTATCACAGGTGGTACTAGTGTTAATTAACTATCACAGGTGGTACTAGTGTTAATTAACTATCACAGGTGGTACTAGTGTTAATTAACTATCACAGGTGGTACTAGTGTTAATTAACTATCACAGGTGTTACTACTGCTAATTAAGAACTAACGCGATACGACTAATTAAGAGGTGGCACACAGGTATCGTCTCCAAATAACATATGCAAAAAATTCTCACTCACACACACACACACACACACACACACACACACACCCTGTTCATCACTAAACTGTCATCGTGTTGTAAATGATTGGGCAATGATTACTAGTGACAATACTGTCTTGTGATTGGCCAATACCGTTCATCTGCAGTTGGTCATTCATTGTGATATAAGTTTGTGTTTACTCTCTCTCTCTCTCTCTCTCTCTCTCTCTGTAGTAATTGAATCCAAAATAGGAAGGGAGATGAATTTTTATTTTCTTCCCCTGTTCCTCCTCCCTCAACCTCCCTTCTACCCCTACCCACCCTCCCTTTCTACTCCCCTACCCTACCTCCTCTCTCTCTCCCTCCCACCCATTCCTCCCTCTCTCCTCTTTTCCTCACAAACTTTAAAATTGGATCACACAAGAGTCCTTTAGTTCACCATTGTTCCCTAAGAATTGTTCTTCACGTCATCTTAAACCGGAAATAATAAATGTGTCCGGTTTAGGATGTTGTGTCCGGTTTAGACGTGTGTTCGGTTTAAGCTGTACTGTCCGGTTTAAGCTGCTGTGTCCTAATTTCGGATATACACATATTTTCTTTGTATTAATTTTATCTTCTAGCTGGTACTAAGTGAACGTATCTAGTTAAATTATTATTATTATTATTATTATTATTATTATTATTATTACGATGCTTTAGTGAATATTACGAGTATTTTAGGTATGTTAAGTAAAGTCATCCACTGTTCCTTCTTAACTCACCAGACAAGAGGAAATTTGTACATAGAACATTAACTCAGCCAGGCCATGAAAGCTCCGGGCCCTGAGTGAAGAGTTTTAATTTATGACCGCGGGGTTAAAAATGTAATGTGTTCTGGAAAGGTAATTAAATAAGGAATAGGAAGGTAATTAAGTAAGGAAAGGAAGGTGATTAAGTAAGAAAAGGAAGGTAATTAAATAAGATGAAGGTAATTAAATAAAGACAAAGAGCACCTGAAGATTAACCCCCCGGGCTTATTTCATCTTAATATTAATGACGCTAACTTAACCTAATGCTAAACTCTCTCTCTCTCTCTCTCTCTCCTCCCCCACCAGTAATATCTCCACCATTTGCCTTCATTTAAATTTAATTTCTGCCGCTCCAGGTCCCCGTAAGACCCCGAACGCTGGCAGCAATTTGGGGGGGTAGAAAAAATGACTTATATTGAGTTTGTTTGATATGACATCGGGTGGGGAGGGTGGGGAGAATGTTAGGGGGGGCAGTGTTAGGGTGGGGGTTAAGGGAGGAGGAGTGCTAAGGGGTGGATAAGGGAGGGAGGGTTAGGGGAAGGAAGGGTTAAATGACGGTCACGAGCGGCTAGTGTAGATTGACCCGTTTTAGTGTAGAGACCGTGTAGTTTGTGTGTGTTGTTGTGTGTGTGTGTGTGTGTGTGTGTGTGTGTGTGTGTGTGTGTGTGTGTGTGTGTGTGTGTGTGTCGCTGTGTCTACCTGAGCTAAGATGTCTTTTATAACTAGAGCGTCTCTATCAGCCACAGTTATCTAGTTTGTTTAGGTTAGTTTAGTTAGGGTTCGTTCGGTTCGGTTTCGTTCAGTCGGATTATTGAGATAATTCGGTTCTGGCTCAATTCGGATCCTATTCGATTTCGATCAATTGAATTAAGTTGGTTTGCTTCGGATTCGTTTCGGTTCGGTCCGATTCCAATTCGATTCGGTTCAATTAGATTAGGATGAGTTGCCAAAATACCTTCATAAATTTCACTCGAGGAGCCAGGAAGAGGAAGGGGTACCAGGAAAGAGGAGGGAAGGTACCAGGAAGAGAGGAGGGAAGGGTACCAGGAAGAGGAGGAAGGGTACCAGGAAGAGGAGGGAAGGGTACCAGGAAGAGGAGGGGAAGGGTACCAGGAAGAGGGGGAAGGGACCAGGAAGAGGAGGGGAAGGGTACCAGGAAGAGGAGGGGAAGAAGGGCCTCACCACCATCAGGAGGGTGAGGTCGGGTGTTTAATATCCTTAATGCATAAAATATACATAAAAGTGGATTCTCTTGGCGGCTTCACTGGTCGTAAATTGTGTGTGTTGAGCCGCGTCGTTCATTCCCGGTAAAAATATATCAGAGGAGTCGACAGTCAATGAGGCGTGAACACTTGTAGGTTAGGTGGGTTAGGTTAGGTTGGTGTTGTGGGTTGGTGTGGTGTTTGTGGGTTAGGTTAGGTTGGTGTTGTGGGTTGGTGTGGTGTTGTGGGTTAGGTTAGGTTGGTGTTGTGGGTTAGGTTAGGTTGGTGTTGTGTCGTGGGTTGGTGTTGGTGTTGTGTCGTGGGTTGGTGTTGTGTCGTGGGTTGGTGTTGGT